ACTCTTGACTCCTAGACCCTTGACCCTGGGAACTTAACTCCACACCTGTAACTGTAGATTCTTAAGCCTACAGCCTAAACCCTAGACACTGGACCCTAGAGCCTTGACCCTGGGCACTTAACTCCAGACCCTAGACCCTTAATCCTACAGCCTAACCTGAGACACTGGACTCTTGACTCTGGGCACTTAACTCCAGACCCTAGACCAGTAACTCTAGGCCCTTAAGCCCACAGTCTAAACCCCAGACACTGGACCCTAGACACTGGACCGCTGGTGCTCACCTTCAGACCCTAGAACCGTAACTCTAGACTACAGCCTACAGCCTAGACACTGGACCCTAGACACTAGAGCCTAGACACTGGAACCTAAACCCCAGACACTAGACCCTAGATACTAAACACTAGACCATAGACCCTTGACCCTGGGCATTAACTCCTGACCCTAGACCCTTAACCACTCTTAAGCCTACAGCCTAAATCTTACACACTGGAGCCTAGACACTGGGCCCTTGACCATGGGCACTCAACTCCAAACCCTAGACCAGTAACTGTAAACCCTTAAGCCCACACTTAACTAACTCTAGACCCTTATACCCTAGACACTGGACCCTAGACACTGGACTCTTGCCCTTTATCCTGGGCAGTTAACTCCTGACCCAAGACCCTTAAGCCTACAGCCTAAACCCTAGACACTGGACCCCAGACACTGGAATCTAGCCTCTTAACCCTGTATACTAAACCCTAGACCCTGGAGCCTTAATCCTAGATCCTTTACTCTAGATGTTTTACTCTAGAAACTTAAGCCTACTCTCTTGCTTGGCCCTTATTCCTAGACCATAGACCTTAGACTATTTACCCTAGACCCCTGACCCTGGGTGCTTAGCTCCAGAATCTAGATCCTTAAGCTAATCAACTGGGAGCAGCAGAGCAATTGTCTAATTTGGAAAGGCCAGTAACTCCAACCTCAGCTGGGTTAGTTCTGGACCTGTTAATGAAATTATTTATTCCACCTGAGCAGCACCTCACCTGCTGTAGATTTTCCTGCAGAAAAGGTGAAAAGGCTACCTTTCTGGCAAAGAGACCAGTGCCATCCTGAGGGATGCCCTGGTGAGGCCCAATCTGGAAAAGTGTGTGTGTTTCTGGGCTCCCAGTTGAGGAGGGACAAGGAGCTACTGGAGAGAGTCCAGCCTAGGTCTGCAGAGATGCTGAAGGGACTGGAGCATCTGCCTGTGAGGAAAGGCTGAGAGACCTGGGGCTGGAGAGGAGGAGACTGAGGGGGGATCTCATCAGTGCTGGTCAGTATCTACAGGGGGTGGCAGGAGGGGGAGACCAGACTCTTCTCAGTGCTGTCCAGTGACAGGACAAGGGGCAGTGGGCACAAGCTGGAGCACAGGAGAGTCAAGCTGAACACGTAACTCTAGACACTTAAGCCTACAGCCTAATCCCTAGACACTAGACCTGTCTAGACACTGGACCCTAGACCCCAGAACCTTGACCCTGGGTACTTAACTCCAGACCCTAGACCCTTAACCCTAGACCCTTAAGCCTACATTCTAAACCCTAGACCGTAGACAATGAACCCTAGACCCTTGACACTTATCTCCAGACCCTAGACCCGTAACTCTAGACCCTTAAGCCTACAGCCTAAACCCTAGACACTAGACCCTAGACACTGAACCCTAGACCCTAAACCCTTGATCTTGAGCACTTAACTCCAGACCCTACACCCATAACTCTAGACCCCCTACCCCTACAGTGTAAATGCTAGACACTAGACCCTGGACACTAACTAAAGAAAGTTAGTTTATTGCATTTATTGAAATATTTTCCTTTTTGTAATTCATGTGAGCTAGTGGAAGGAATAGCCACCTAGCATCTCCTTCAAAATGTGGATTTCTTAATCCCGAAGGTCACTATGGAATTTGAGGGATCAATGCAGGAAGATTTGCTATAAGCTGCTAACTAGAGCTGTAAATAATGGGTAAGGATACATGAGGAATCCTCTCCTCATGTGGGATTCAAATCCAGTATTTCAGGTACAGTTTCTGTCAGCGTTAGGTCCAGCATTAGCCTCCTTGGATTTTGCATGAAAGTAGAAAAAAATGTTCTCATTAGAATTAGCAGTAAAGCATTTTATGTGCCCCTGCATGGGAGCTTGAAGGAAATTGGCTGGTGAGACTCCCTTCTGTCTGCTGTAGCAACATCTGCTGTTGGAGGAAATCTAAATTCAGGGATCATAGGTTAGAGCTGCACCATGGAGAGGGGTTTTGGAAAGCAAGGAGGTTTGCACTTTGGGGAAAATAAGATTTTTAACAGGAGGGCCTGAATGGAAGTTCATGGAGACAAATTCTGGGTACTTTGAGGGAAGTAGCCTGTTTCTCAAGCAGGTGCCAGGCCAGGCCCTTGCACAAAGTTTTAAGGGAAAGAAGGCACTTAACTCCAGCTCAAAAAACCTGGTAGCAGGAGGGCTGCATACTTTGGGATGTAAGCAAAACCTTGAAGAGCTGCATCTCTAGCAAGATGCATTAACTGGATTTGAGTATAAGTCTGGGAGGAGGAGATGGTGATTCTTAACTGAATAGTAGACAGTTCACTGACAAATTCAGTTAGGAGACAAAAACACGCTGCAGGACAAAGGGAAATAATCAATGACCCACAGCATGTCTTGAGTTGCATTTGCCAGGAGAGGGGTTGGCTGCCAGTAGCTATGTCAGTGCCACCTGACGGTGCAAAAGCAGAGCTGCTGGGGCCTTGTACATTTTCTTCTGCGTTCAGAGGTTTAGTGAAGAAAAAACATAGGCTGTCAAGTTTTCTAATTGCTGGACACTACTTTTATCTTCCACATCATGGGGTGATGAGCCCAGGGCTCTGGGCTACCATCTCCTGTTGAATTGCACCTACCTTGCTGTTACCCTGTTCCTTCTGTAGCAGTAACCCAGGCAGTGGCCTGCAGCAGCTGCCACTTCTCCCCTGCAGTCCTCACAACACAGCCACTGCACATCAAAGCTAAAATTGGACCAGGTACTACATTTTGCATACTCCTGCCCCCCAGAACTGAATAAGACAACTTTAATCAGAAGAAAGCAACACACGCTGGGTCGCACATGACATCCCTGTTGACAGGAAGCTGAATTGCAGAGGATGTGACAACACTGGACTGCACACAAAAGTGTGAATTAAAAAAGGCACCTCCTTCACACACAGGGAGGGTTAAAGAAGAGCACAGACAGCTCCAGAGGGGTTATTAACTAGGAAAATACTCTCATCTGAGAACCTGCTAATGATGAACAGTTCCAAACAAAATTATCAGAATGGTCTGGAAAAGAGCAAGAGCTGGTAAATGCATACCCAGGGTCATGACCACAGATAGTCATAAGGTTAATTTAACTGGAATCAATAATGAGTCTGCTATTGCATCAGCTCCTCCAGGCCTCTCTACCTTCCACTTGTCTTTACTTACTAAAAAACACATTCATCAGTTGCAGCCTGATGCTCATTTGTGTGCTCTGTTACTGCCTGCAACCTGCAATAGTAGCATGAGTTAAGACCAAGCAGAGCACCAAGCATAAAGGTCATCAGAATAGAAGGCTGCAGCAGTGACAAGGCTGGCACTACTACACTCAGGATCCCAGGAATCTCACTAAAGACAGAAGAGGAGGTTGTATAGAAGGTAGGACACATGCTACATAACAAGAAAAAAAAATAATATATATATATAAAAAATCAAAGCAACATACCTATCTCTGGTCTCCATCCTTAGAGCTATTAGAAAGCCATCTGAAGACAGTCCTGGGAGACTGGCTTTAGGTGAGCAGGGGAGCTGGATCAGATGCCATATGTCCCCTTCCAACCTCAACTGCTCTGTGATTCTGTGACCTCTTCCTTTTGAGCACAGCACGCTGGATAGCAGGAACTATCCAGATTTTCCAACCATGCTGTAAAGATAGCCTCTGATGGACCCTGTCTTTGTTGGGTCATTGGTGATCCTGCAGTCTTCACCTCAGCACACATGTAGTCCCCTGGGTAAGCCACCAGAAACACAGGCTGGGCAGACTTAGCTGGAGCCAAGCAGGAGACATGGGATTCTTCCTCATCACTTGGCAGCCAGCTCCATGAGCCAGCCCAACCCAATCTCTGTACCTACAGCCTCTTCCAAACATGACCACTGAGGAGCAGATACTTCAGGTAGTACTCAGGTGTCAGAAAGCACTGGGCTGAGGCTCCACCAACCAGCTCCAGCCTTCAGTAAGCTGCCCAGCTGTGCCCTCTGAGACTACTAGTGTCCTCCCAGTAGGCCAACAGTAATCCAGCATGCTTAACTCAGAACAGCCACTTACTTCTAAGAGAGCACATAATCTTTGATTTTCTTTCATTCTCAGTCTTGACAGCCCACAGGAGCATGGCAGGTCTGAGAATCTTTATTTCATAGTTATCAACACTGGAGGGATGAGTTACACACTGTAGTATCTGTGGGCAGGCAAACCATAGCAACAATGTGGTACTCACTTGGGGTTTAACAACAGGATGTGAGTGCACAGCTTTGCTCCAAGGTACCAAGGCAGCTTCAACAGCTGGCAGGGAAAACAAGATACTAAACCTGGAAAAAAACACCTGGCCCAACTAGGTCTTCGGAGAAACAAAGATATTATCACATTGATGCCAGGGGAAAAAAAAAAAAAAAGTTCAAACAGCAGCAAGTAAGAATATCCCTAAAGGGGAGTTAATAACATGGGCATGGAGAGAACAGATCGGAGAGGAAGAAGCTCAGGGCCAGTCATAACCACAGCTTGACCAGATCACAACATATTCCATTACATGGAGCAACATGCCCTGCACTTTTTGTGGAGTGTTAAATTAGTATCTCTTTGTCTCCTCCCAGCCAGCTCACAATCCAGCAGTTAGATACAGCACTGTGTGCAGATACGAGTTAGTGAGAGTGCTCCACAGCTTCCCATCCCTTGTAATGGACTTGTGGACTTCATCAGAGGCCTGGACAATGTAAGCCACACAGTGCACAGGAGAACAGAGACAGGTGGAAGCTCCTGCCAAGCACACAGCAATGTTTTCTGCCCAGCTTATGCATCAGTCCCAGACAAGGCTACTAGAGTTGTCTCTTTGGATATAGTGACCCTACCCTATGGAGGGCCACATGATGGGAAGCACATCACTCCTCAGGCTGACCTGGATACAGCTGGCACGTTGAAAACAAACGGAGACATTGGAAGTGCTGTAAGGGCTTGGACACTCTGCAGAGAATTAATATGGCCTGTAGTTGCAGTAACTGGAGAAAACAGAGATCTGGAAAGCAAAAAGTAAAGCAGGTAAGTTCCTGTATCCCTTGAGCAATAAAAGAAAGAGCACATAATGTGTGCATGAAGATTGAGCTTTACAGCACTACACATTCCAGCACTCTATTCCAAAAGGGCAGATATGCTGCTACTGTCGCTGAAGAGACTTGGATCACAAAGTCACTTGCTCAGGGTGGCACCCAGGGCAACTGCAGAGCCAGAATGAACGCTGTTCAACTGGAACCTAGTTTGCACCTCTCCAGATCCTAATTGAGAACACAGATGTCTGCCTGCTCCTCTCCATCTGGTCAATAGCTCAGCAAACACATCTGCCACACTACTGCACTTCTCCCAGATGTCTGGCTGCTAGGCCATGCCAGCCAGCTCCCTTGCTCCAGAGCACTGACTCATCCAGATTACATGTAAATTGTACAGGATAACATCACATCAGATTTTTAGAAGATCTGAGGTCCTCTCAACATCCGAACAAAGAACAAAGCCCCTTTTCTAAGGCTTTTACCTTGTCCTTCAGTTGCTGGCAGAGCTGCAGTGAAACTGTGAAGAAGACAAGGGCATCATTTAACCATGGGACAACACATTCCACTTTATGAACATGACTGACTTCATAGCGCTGGTTACCAAATTCACTGGAGTCGGGGGGGGGAAAAAAAAAGAGCACAACTTCACACACAACAGCACAGAACACAAAAATCAACTGTCCTCCATTCTCACAGCAGAGACCATTATGATTTCTACTACATTTAAAACAGCACCTGACAAAGTTCATAGAATCACAGAATGGTTTGGGCTGAAAGGGACCCTAAAGATTATCTAGATCCAACCCCCTGCAGGGGCAGGGACACGTCCCACTAGACCAGGTTGCTCCAAGCCCATCCAACCTGCCCTTCAACACTTCCAGGGACAGGTCTTCCGCAATTGCTCTGGGCAACCTGTTCCAATGTCTCACCACCCTCATGGTGAAGAATTTCCTCCTAATGTCTAACCTCAATCTCCCCTCTTCCAATTTTAAACCATTCCCCCTTGTTCTCTGACTCCCTACCCTTGTCCAAAGTCCCTCCCCAGCTTTTCTGGAGCACCTTCAGGCACTGGAAGGGGCTCTGAAGTCTCCCTTGAGCCTTCTCTTTTCCAGGCTGAACACCCCCAACTCTCTCAGCCTGGCTCCAGAGCAGAGTTGCTCCAGCCCTCTGAGCATCTTCGTTGTCTCCTCTGGACTAGCTCTGTGTCCTTCTGATGTTGGGGACCTCAGAGCTGGACACAGCTTGGCAGGGGGGTTCTCACCAGATCTGAGTGAAGGGAAACAACAAGTTACAGAATACAAACTCTCAGTCCTACCTCTGATCAGATTTAAACTAAATCTGACATGGTTACAGTAGAAACATTACTAGTTTCCAGAGAGGCACAAAGGCAGGAAATGCAGGGCAATGCCAGTAATCTAAGTTCATTCAGGTTGACAATTCTGATCTCCAGATAAACCCATGGCACTGGGTGGGTGGGCTGTACCCTGAAAAGCCACATCTCTCGGCCTTTATAACCAAGTCATTAAAGAAACTGTATTATGGGCACCTGTGCATTCACAGGCAGAGCCACAGCCACAGCAAGGGGCTCAGTCTAGCTTCTCCTCTTAACAGATGCTATAAGCAACAGTGTTGGATCTCATCCTCAGCATGCTCCTGCACCTGTAACACTGCCCTTGTAGTGACTGTACTTACAACATGGCTCCAGGGTTGTGCAAAATGGACCCTCCAGCAGGCTTGAAGTTCTAGAGAAGGAAAAGGTCATTAGGATTTTGAGGCAGTAAACAAGCTACTTAGAAGGACGATGTTTAAGGTTTGCACATTTGCCTGATATCAATAAATGCCTATATTATATCTGCCCAAATATACCATTCATATGGAATCAGTGTCATTTGATCCCTTCCTGCTCCTTTGTAACAAAAATTCTACACAGTGGCTCAGTCCAACTTAGTTCCAAATTGTAGCACCACAAAAATAAGATTCTGAGATCCAGAAAAAAAAACCCCAAAATATATATTTTAGGAAAAATATCCTTATGAAAGGACTGCAGTGTTTAGTTCTGTTTTTACAGGACATCAAGCTGACCCAAATGCAACGGGTGAAGCAGAAAGTATCCATCAAAACTCCATTCAGAAAACCCAAAATGCTACTTAGATGTCAACTGGAAGAATACAATTATGCCCTTCCAAAATTACACAAAATTGCCTAACTATACCATGTAAGATAGAGCATTACTTGGCAAAAAATAGTTACTGGCTTTCTCCAGAACACTAGTATTTTCTTCTGGGCTAAGTGGCCATGGCCCGAACTAGATTCAGAGCCAGTGTTCTGCCTGCAACAGATCTAAACACAGGCACTTACCAGCAGCTGAAGTCACTGCTGCATTATCTGGTGTATATAAAATTGCACCATGTAGCAGTGCAATCTCCTCCTCACAGTGGGACAGAAGAACAGATAAAGAAAGAAGGTTCAAGAGATAGCAGGTATCACCTTGGTTGTGCTGGGCTGCAGCACGTGGAGCTGGTAGACAGTCAGACACAGCTTGTTCAGGTTAATATAGAAATTCAAAAGGACGTCTGGAGGCAGCGCAGGGGTGAACATTTTCTGGTGAGAAAATAAGTAGTTCCTTTGTCAGTGAAAACACTCTTACCTCTAATGCTGGGAAGTTACTACCTTTTCTAAGCCATCTTACAGTTACCCCTGGGCAGAGAAGAGAACTTACTCTCTTGAGAACCAGAGTTCTCATGCCCAAGTCATCTGCTTTCCCACAGGAAGATACAGAGCAGCCAAAAATTCTCTGGACTTACACCTACTTCAGCTTTTCTTCTGCTTCAGGAGACACTTTAGAAATCCACTTGCACCAGGATGCAGAACAATATCCTAACTCTTGCACACTGTCAGGCTATATGGAGATCTAGGCCACCACATACTTACTGTGAGACCACCGGAAGCAATCTCTGGTAGAGTCAGAGTGGCAGGAGTGGTAAGTCGGTTTCGGGCTCTTGAGAGCTGTAACATCACAGCATCCATCAGCTACAAGATAATGTACAGTACACTGCTAAGTGGTGACCCTGGACAGCTTTGGATAGTGTGCTGCAGAATCCTACAGCCTTTTGTAAATGTTACAACAGCAACCACCACCATCACCACCACCACCACCACCTTTCCAGGAATCCAAGGGCTTATTGGGAAGGAGGGGCACCCACATGAATGCAGTTTAACTGTGACCACAGTCATAGACACTTGTGAGACAGGCTAGGAGTGCTTTGCACCAGGGACTGAGGAGAGAACAGTTAGGTACTAGACGGATAAGAAGAGAACATGAGATCAATTACTGATGCCACAGAAGCATCAACAAACTCTTCATCAGCTCTTCTGAAGAGCAGATATTAAGGAAAAATGACAAGCTGTTTTCTAGTTCTCCCCACTCTCACATAACAGGTACAACTGCTGAACACCCCAACTCATTCCTAACCATCTGTGAGCCAGGGCACTAAAGAACAGACCCAGCTCACTGTGAGGCTAGTCCTGCGAGAAACCACAGTGCAAAGGCTCTATGCAGACAGACTCCCACTTCCAGAAAAAAAAAGGGGAAAGCAACATATGTCTGTTACAGAGCTCATGAGTGCTAAGATGGAGGCATTTTTATTATGACTAATTTCTCCCCCCTACTTCCACCAAAAAGTAAAAAGTGAATAGTTTTATTACCTAGCTTCTTCCTATTAGCAGCCCTTGCCCATGTGGACAGTAAAAAGGTTTAACTTTCTCATGTTTGATATTGTGATGGATTCTAATAAGTTGAAACTCTGGTAGCTTCAGAGAGCATTTCCAAGCAGAGGACTGGGCTTTATTGCCACACAGCAGCTGGTCAGGCTGCAGCAACAACTATTAGCAAATGAGAAACAACTTTAAAATCATCAGTGAGTCACAAGTGCTAAGTACGATCTTGTGTTTGCTGATGGCTACCTCACTTCTCTCCCCAAAAGCAGTAACTGACAGGGATGAGCATGAGCTGTGTAACCACATCATCCAAAAAAGATGAGGGGTATCACTGCTGTGCAACATCATGATGTACAACCCTGTCACTAATACCAAACTGGTATAGATTCCTGCCAAACAGGAAGTCACATGGAAACTCCTTGACCCTGGTACATATGGGTCCAAGTGGGGAATCCAGCTCCAGCTCCAGCAAGAGACTCAAGACAGTAATGTGCATTAGCTGTATTTAATTTAACAAATGGAGGGAAAAAAAATGCATTCTCCAACCCAGAAGTGTAGGAACCCAGAGAAGGCTGTCTCCTCACCTTGAGAACCTCTGAGCCTGTTTTGAATTGGTAGTTTACATCTCTGTTCATAAGCAGGTAAATGGCTTGGTTAACATGGTTTCTAGCATCCTGGATCTGCAAAGGTACAAATACATCCTGTTTAAACAAGCACTCATACTAGGAAGCAGAGGTTTCCCAGATTATCTCATTGACCCTAACAAAATGATGTCTTCTCAAAAGTTAAGGCCATTTCTCTCTGAAACACAAACCTACCAGTGCTGCCCACCCAGATGCATTATTGGGTTCTTCACTAAAGGAATGTTTGGTGCAAAATGGTCTGAGAGCTACAACCTGGTTTATCAAGAAAAGTATTGCCACTGCCCTGAAGGAGCAGGATCAGCAGGCACTCCCATCCTGGGAGGGTAGGAATTTTTGTTGTTGATGGTATACAGCAGTCAGCTCTAGCAAAATGAATAATGATTTATTCCTGTTGGAGCTAAAACCAATTACAGAAATTGCACCAATAGCAGCAACAAGCAGCAAAAACTGCTTTCTAATACAGTGTCTCTAGCAGTATCCCAGAGTCCTTCTAAATTCTAATTGTCGGGCATGAGAGTTATCTCCAGCATAGAGAAGCTGCCATCATGCCACCTGCGTGGAACTGGACCAGCCTCAGGACACAGCTAACTCCAGTCCCTCTCAAGCAAGAGCACTTGCAGCCTGCAGACAATTAATTACCAAAGCAGGGCTGATAAGTGTATCCCAGTGCTTTCATGGGAGCAAGGACAAACCAAAAGGAGGAAGAAAGTGGCAAGGGAGAAAGTGACTCGTGTTCAGTTCAGCAAATTGAAACAAAGCAAAGGGGTAAATCAGAGTGTACAATACAAGTAAGCAGGACAGCCTGTATGAGAGGTGGCTGCTGAGAGATGAGTAACAGAACTTGGGATATTTGTTTCTATGCTGCTCTGCAGCAACCCCAGATCCCAGCTCAGCCTTGAGCTCAGCCTGGGCACTGGTTCCCTCTCATCCGGAGAACAGCCCTGCTCTTAGAAAGCACAAGGCACTGGAAGCTACAGAAAGCGAGATGATACAGTTCACTGTCAGACTGCAAAGAGACTTTGCAGGTACTTTGGTTATGGCATCTCCAAACATCACCCCCTCCAGCCTTTGCATCTCCCAGATGCTTCTGAGCAAGAAAAGTGGCTCCTGGCAGGGTAACCCAACTCCTTGCCTTTTTGCAAGGCATCGATTAACTCAAGTCAAGTTTGGCACTAACATCTCAAGTACACAATTTTCTAGATTCCTACAGAGTTACCAAGTAGAGCTTTCACTGCACTACCAAATGCACTGGTCGCCTAGGAAAATCTAAGCCCCAGGATAAGTGAAGGACATGGAATACATCTTTTTCCAGCCTACTCGACTATGACAAAGTAACTGTGGGAAACTATGTTTTCAAGATCAGGTCCTGAAATCAGATACCTCTCAGCAAAATGGGAGGAAACAGATTAAATGTCCTGGATAGCCACATCCTTTAAGCTCCTTAACTGAGGGAACCCAGCTATGCTACAAGAGCACAATGCAGTGAGATCTGTTCCCAGCACAAAGCAATGCTGCCATAAAAGAATGAAAACAAGCTACTCAAAACCTCTGAAGTTGCTCTTTGACCTGCTGGCCTGGGTCTCACAAGCAGACACAGGCTCCCTAGGCACTCTTTTTGAGGGATTATGACTGCCCTGCAGACAGCCTTCAGCTCACTGGTGTTTCAGGAACAAGTAGAACTCTCCTCACACCACAACTGAATACAACTGCATGTCTCCTCCTTAACTTTTACCACTGGAGCTAAAGTGAGACAGATACACCCTTGTCTCTCAGAAAGTAAGGGGCTACAGGCACTGCTGGGAGGGCACAGACGATACAGAGGAGAGAGGGGCAGGCATCTCCAGCTATCAGTACCTGCTGCAATTTCCACTGCTTGTCTTCCCGAAATGCAAAGTGCAGAAGTTGATTATTTCTGGGCATTTTCAGACTAACATCCTTGAAGAAAGAAACAAACATGTGAGAACAAGCAATCCCCTTATACAGAAGATGGAGACTACCAGTCCCACTCCATTCTGTCTCCCAGACCAGCTTGGCAAGCTGCTTTCCACAGTCCTGGCATGGCCAGAACCCCAGTCCTCCTACAGGAAGATGTTTATAGAAAGGGTAAGTTGAAAAACACTTCAAGAATTGTGATTCGGGCAGGACACACGACCTCAGCTCAGAAGGCCCCCAAGATAATCTGATATTACACAACAGAGGTGGGAAAGACGAGGAGTCCCCATGGAAGTCAACTCCACCACTCACCACACTTTGTGTGTGGACGATGGGTTAGGTGGTGGATCTTGACAAATTTCAGTTGCTGCAGGACTCAGCTGCATTAAGGATATAAAGTCCATTAGGGAAGACTGACAAAGAATGTTTACTGATCACTGATAATAAGGATGACCACTCCCTTGAGGTCACTGAAGTGTAATAAGGATGACTCCCACCCCATCCCTGGTGGTAGGGGAAAGCAAGAAGATGGCAAGTACTCACAGCTTGACATAGGGCATCTCCCTGCAGTGTCAACACACCTTTCACCTGGTCTGTGCTGGAATGAGAAGGAGGATCTGAGCAACAAGAAGTCACAGAAGGCATGAGACAACTACTGAAGCTGCCAGTCAGACACCACTCCTCTGTGTGCCATGGAGCCACCCAAGCTCCTTTCCTTCCATGGGTCAGCTGGGGGATGTGGATAACTCCACACAAACAAGACATCAGCTCTGCTTTCATATTCTTTATGAGCCACCTCACCGTAACTCTCCCACCTGAAAAATTACCTCCATTTCAGACCCCATGCTCATTTCACATATTAGCTATCACCAATGTGGTTGCTGTTACCAACAGTTCTAGCAGACACAAACACAAGATACTAGGTGAATTACTGACATTGGAATGCTACCTGGTTCACAGAGGAGTTGAAAGCTACAATCCCCACTCTGCCCACCCCAACAAGGAAAAAATTTTACATGTTTATTTAAAAACAAAAAAACACACCCCAAACAATT